GAATATTTAGTTTTGCAATATTCCCATTAGTTTTGCTACTAAAACAGTTTTACGCTGTGTCGGAGAACTGTCCCGAGTTACCCTGCCCGTCCCGAGTAGCCCTGGTTGACGGTAGTTTTCATTGGACTTGAGGGGGATACTGAGAATCGCTCGAACTCTAGAGCGAGCTTGCCCGAGTTAACTTGTGATAGCTGAATATCTTACGTCTGGCCGGTGTAGTGCCACAGGAATGTCATGCAAGCGCAGGCCTGCGTTGTGCTGCAAAATTCTGTGTAGTGCCCTCTCACAACAGTGCACATGTCATCAATGAGCTTTGACTACTGCCAGCAATTTCTTTGCTATTTACAATGCAATCTTGAAAAACAAATAAACATAAAACATTATGATGTGCTGTAAATTTCAATTTTTTTCCATGTTATTTGTTACATTTTTCCAGTTTAAGGACGTGATTATTTAAAATTCATCATTCAAAAAGAAGTAATTTAGGCTTTGATACCCATTCTTTCAACTGAATAACATATTTTATTTACCTTGTGAAAAATAAAGTTAAAAATAGTAGTAATAGGACACAACTTGGTTGTGCATAGACTTGGGCAGACACGTCAAGTAGCAAAGGATGCTCGGCCACTGAGCTGATCCCTCACACCCCTCCTCTCTCCCTCCTACCTCTGATGCTCGGCTATCCCTTTTGGTAATGTGAGCCGCTGCTTCAGGCCAAATAGACCGTTTTTGAACTGGTATATTTTCATCTCCAGTATATAAATGCATCATATTCAGTGCCAAAATTATGTCAATGATATTTAATTTAGATAATATATATTTTTTCACAAAAGACAAATTGTTGCTAGATCATATATATAAGGACTTCTATTATCAGTCTGCTTATATTGCAAGTTCACACAGAATTTAAAAGCAAAGAAAATGCCATGCATATTCATCATATCGATACCGTCAACCGGGGCTACTCGGGACTGGCGGGGCAACTTGCGACGCACCTCCGACACATCGTAAAACTGTTATAGTAGCGAAACTAATTGGAATATTGCAAAACTAAATATAGTGGCGTAAACGTCAACATTTTTCCTATCTATGTAGTATAAAGGAAGTTGAAAAATACGACATTTACTAGCTTTGAAAAATTCCTGAAAAAAATGGTGAATAATGCTATTTTGAAAAGTTACTTCTGCTAAGGTCTGTAGCAAAAAAATATTTGCCGTATTAAAAAAATTTACTTACATAAAAGTTGCACCCAAGTGTTGACTTGAAAACGTAATTGACAGATTTTGACTACCGTAAAATGGGGTTACTTTGACCGGCGGAGTAACTTTGACCACTTTTTGTTTTTTTAACAAAAACCCCCGAAACTCAAAAACGATTTGACATAGAAAAATTTTGTCAATGGCCATCAAAGGCCTAATACTGAGGCTATGTAATACAATAGAAAGATTTAAAAAGTTTGCATACCTAATAGGTTAAAAAATTAATAATGTGACCCACAAAAAAGAGCTATTATTTAAAGCCTGTCAGAGTACCCCCTCCAATTTTTTTATTTTTTTGGTAAAATAACTCCAGGTTTTGATGCATTGTAGTAGAACTCTTCTAGTTACGGTACATATGCAAAAGACAAATTTTAGGGAAACTTTCATAGTTTGCAAATGGGGGGGCGCCGCCCCCCAATGGGGGAACTTTGACCACCTGATGGCAGCCATGATGGGGTAACATTGACCAGCTTGGAAATTAAGTTAAAATTACCATAGGTACCTATATAACATATTTTATGTTTGATACACCTATTTTTTCTTTATGTTTCAGACTCTACAGAGTCTTATATATGGTAATTTTAACTTAATTTCCAAACCGGTCTATGTTACCCCGTGACGGCTGCCATTAGGTGGCCACATTTTGCCAATTGGGCGGCAGCACCCCCCATTTGCAAACTATGACACTTTCCTAAAATCTGTCTTTTGCATATGTAACTAGAAGAGTTCTACCACTGCACCACAACCTGGAGTTATTTGGAGTTATTTTACCAAAAAATAAAATTGATTTTACCACCCGGTCAAAGAAACCCCATGAGCTGGGGTAACAAAGACCATCACTTTTTTTGAAATTACATCAAAACTATGAGAGGCAGGAGCCAGCAATTTATGGTGAGTAAAGCTAGAGTATAGGCCTGTATTTTGCATGTTTCAATTTAAGTTTAACTTATCTAGTAAAAAAATGGCATTGTTTTGAAAAAAAAGTGGTCAAAGTTATCCCATTTTACGGCATGTCATTAAAAAAAAATGGCGGCCATTTCCACACGGCGGGGCTATTCGGGACACCCCAGAAAGCACATTTACAGTAGAACCTCAGTAAAGGCTCCAGTTAAGAAAAAAATTGATTAAAAACAAAGAATATTGATTACATTTACCTCGCTGAGCGAAAAAAAGTTCACTTATCGTCACACAAATTACAAGCCGTCCTGTAAGCTTACAGATACAGAAAAAATGCTATAATGCTGCTGATATGAAGCTTGCAGTTAACAAGGTTGTTGTAAATGCTCAATGGCATGTTCATGGATATGGTAATATCACATCAATAATACAGTAATATCCCATCAATAATAGGGTAAGGTCAACTGGGGGATTTGGCCATGTTCATAATGATGGCCAAAGCAGGGTCATAAACAGTCATTAATGGTGGCCAAAGTCACTCAGGCGTTTATGACCTGGTTTACAACCCTGGCGTTTATGACCCCGGCATTTACGACCCCGCATTTACGACCCCAGCATGAATAAAAAACGTGGCCAAAGTCACTTCAGTTGAGGGTAATTAATGTTTATGATAATATCATATCAATGAAGGAAAAACTAGTAAAAATCACTGAAAATGTCATTTATTCTACCTCTACATTGTCTACAATGAAAGAGGAGGACTGCAGAGTACTGTTAGTAATTGATGAGTATGCTCTGCATGCTTCAAATACTTTAAAATTAAGTTTTATTCCAAGTGTCCCGAGTAGCCCCGTCCGATGGGGCTACTCAGGACACTCTTTTTTTGCTTCTGGCACCTTACGAATAGCATATGGAATTTTTTTGAAGATGCCATTCGATAGCCCTCACAAAGAGCTATAAAATGAGCCTAAACTTATGAAATGCTTCACCGTAAGAAGTTATTAACAAAAAATGCTCAAAACCGTCCCAAGTAGCCCGGGTTGACGGTATTGAAAAATGTTTTGGAGTCCAGATCCATCATCAGTTTGACAATCTAAAAATGAATAAAATCATTTTATAAGTTAAAATTATAAGACAGACATAAAAACCTAAACAAGACCTAATATGATATCAAAAAACAGGACTCAATCAGAACAACTTAGTCCTAGGGGTCACGAAAAGAATAAAAGTTAAGAAAACACAATAAAACATAAAAGCCTAGCAATTCACTATTTCAAGAGGATATGAACTAAATGCATTATTGAGACACGGTTTTCATTTGAAGATATGTAATGACTTCTCAATAATGCATGTCTCAATAATGCATTTAGTTCATATCCTCTTGAAATAGTGAATCGCTAGGCTTCTATGTTTTATTGTTTTTTCTTAATTTTTATTCTTTTGTGACCCCTAGGACTAAGTTGTTCTGAAAGAGTCCTATTTTTTTGATATAATGTTGGATCTTGTTTAGGTTTATATGTCTGTCTTAGACTATTGACTTATAAAATGATTTTATCCATTTTTAGATTGTCAAACTGATGATGAAACTGGACTCCAAAATGTTTTCAATATTGATATGATTAATTTGATTTTTGTCAGATTATTAATTATTTTTTTCTTGGTCACATTAATACTATAAGCACATTATAAGAAGGTTACAGAAGCATATCAATATTCTGACTTTAATTGGTAATTAAGATATATTGAACTACAGAGACTGTAATCCAGACCAATAGTTAACTCGTAATGACAACGATATTGTCATGAAGTGCCTCATCTTGCTTTTTATTGAAATAATTTCATGTTTTTAAATACATTGTATGATCAGCAAAGGGGCCAGTGTTTTTGCACACATACTAACAATAGAAGGTTGTAATGTAAATGTGCTAACCCTTTAACACCAAAGACGCAGGGGGGTAAGGAGGCTGTCCCTCTACCCCCAAGGGAGAAGGTAGACCAGGACTATGCCACTTCACGTGAGCTGATTTATGACTGTCAAGGAACAGTAAGACACATTTGACATGCTTGGGGCCAGCTTCCAAAGAAAATGGGAAATCTATGATTCAGTAGTGATGAAAAAGTATTTTGTTAGGAAATGTCTACAAAATAGAGGGTGATTCAAATATGACTTCAATACCAATTAATAGAGAATAAATAGTACTACTACTTCCTCATGTCTCTTAAATTTAGGTAAGTCAAATCACTCGCACATATAATGAACATTGATGTGCAACATTTTACTCTATCATAACTGATGTTATACAAAATTTACATATATTTTGTAACTATTGGGAAATTATAAGTAAATAGCTGAATAAGCATGAAAAAATTAAGATTGATAAATCATTTATGAGCAGAGTTATAATGACTATACTTAGTTATAGATTCTCATAGGGATCCAGCCAAGCCTGCCTGAGGGCTCGCAGTTCTCAATCACAACCTTAAGTCTAAAAGTATTTCCTAGCACTCATCTGAATTACACTTTTATTTGGTTCTCCATTTATGTTGCATGATTCTTAGCATTCAATATTCAATTATTTTTGTATTCTATGCTATGTTTTTAGAAAATTTTGCACCCCTGATTGATTTTATTAAAATCTTAGCATGTTAATGGCTAGCATCTATTGTTTAATAATCACGATAAGTGTGATTAATTCTTTAAAAATATTTCAATGTATTTAAATAATAGCCTCCAAATTTCCCTTATAGCTGTACCTGTCAACAGTTGTTTATTTTCCTCTGTATCTTTTTCATCTATCATCATTTTCCTCTCTGTCTTTTCTAACCTAATATTTTGATGTTCAACAGAAAAAACTGAAATTGCTTCAAGAACTGGTTCACAAGCTACTGTCAATATCACTTTTTAGAGGTCCTGTAGTATATTTGCACTTTCTAAACCTTCCTGAATAGAAGATGAACACAAACTTCACTGTTGGGTAGTTGAAAAGATAGATATTCAATCAATTAGTAACTTGAATCCAATGGCGTCCAATGCCAAAGAATGCCCTGTACTTTCCTACGTCAAGAGTGATGAGAGTTTTGAGCAGAATCTGCCCCTAGAGCCTGCTGTTGAAATCAAAGTTGAGTCTGAAGGTAAGCATCTTTTGGATTACATGTCAATGTCTATAACATATTTTGTGTTACATGTCAATGTTTATAACATCTTTTGTGTTACATGTCAATGTCTATAACATATTTTTTTGTTATGTGTCAATATCTATAACATTCTACTAATATGGCTTAGATTTTTGGTATGTTGTTCAGTATTTGCATATTATTTCATTCAGCCCTGTATGCTTTCTACTAATTATCAACATGTTGAGTGCAGCACGACTACCACCGGTATACAATATGACAAAGCCGTACTTAACATGTTGAAATGTAAAAGCCTAAGCAATCTCAAGCTCTTTTCAAAACAATACACAGATTTGCTTGTTGATTGAAAATTCATAAATGCTGATGTATGATTATTTTTACTTTGCTGAAGTGGCAATGGTAAAACAAAATACTTGATTTCCAGTATTGAACATGGATGCTCCCACTCCAGTCATCCAAGTCCCTGAAATCTACATCAAGCAGGAGCCTGAAAATGAGAATTTGGATGTAACTGTGAAGGAGGAATCATTTCTATATGGTTCGCAGGTACTTGCAGTAAAAATGACAATTTTTTCATATATGTACATATTTTCACAATTAATTGGGAAATAGAGGCAGCTGAAATTGTTTTGATAGGGTATGCGCTACAGTTAATTAATTGACGTGATACTCAGATTTGACTGTTTTTTGATGTTAAACATACTAAATTAAACTAATTTTCCATGATTGGTAGTTGAAAATGTTATGCCATCATCATCACATTTTCACCTATACCCACAAATAACCTATTACTGCAGTGTCCCTCACGTTACTGAATCATTACTATACCATCCCCTCTTATACCCTTTTTACCCTAGGGCGGTGCAAGTCAACATCTCAGTGCTGCTCCTGCAGACCTGCTATCTCATGTACCTTCATTTTGTTGGCCAGGCAAGATGGAACTTAAAGCTGAGGTATGTTGTTGCCGGGTAGATGTCTCATGTTGCAGGTGAGGTAACCGTATTACCTACTTTGAGTTTGGTTTGGCTACAACCCTTCTATCTTGTTAAAGCGAAAGGCAAATGAAAGACTGGTGTTTTTTATAATAAATTGAAATGAAAATACAGTGCAATGATGTATGAGAGAATTGCTAATTATTGTGTGGTTGTGGTACAGTGTAACAAGTGGATGAGTTAAATTGTGTTCAGGAGTTGTGAGTTATGATTAGGGATAAGGAGCATGGACAGGGTTACCAGTTGTTCCATCATTGGTGAACTGAAAAATAAGTAATATAAAAATCAATAACCTGTCCAAGTAGATAATAATACTAAGCCTGAAGGGAAATTGGTTGTTAAAACTGCTGCAATAAAACTCTAAAATAGATTCCTGAATGATAGCAAGCTGGTTGCGTGCAGCAAGAAATGTGAAACACAAAAGAGACAAACATTATAATATTTGAAGTGAAATCAGTAAAACATTTGCAAAGATAAGCTAAAACCAGAACCAGAATAAACTGCTCAAGTAATTTGTAAAAGTTGTAAAGTTTTTAAGATAAATAAACAAAATAAAGCATTCATGAATAAATTGCAAGGAAGTTACAGTTGAAATAAGAATTGCGATAAACATTGGATGATAAGTAAAACACATACAAAGCCAATTAATCAGATTAGCTGCTAGTAAAAATTACAGGACACTTACAAAACATCATTGCATCATCATTGCAAAAGTGTTCAATAGTGTTCAATCATCACACCTAACTAAACTCACCAACAACTTGTGGCAATTCCACTTAGCGATTCATCAATTTAGGGATCAGCAATTGCACTTGCATAGTCCCTCCCTCACTATTGCAATAATTAGCCAAGTTGTCATAACTACAATGAATTTAAAGACTGAAAATAACAGAAAGAAAACATACATTTAACAATAATTTATATGTGATTCATATATAGAGAGCAGATGGTTGGGTAGAAAATGAGTAGATGCCTCCCGGGAACAATGTGGCGCCCTCTCATGAGGTATGTATTGCCCTCTCATGAGGTATGTATTACCCTCTCATGAGGTATGTATTACCCTCTCATGAGGTATGTATTGCCCTCTCATGAGGTATGTATTTGTATGTGCTGCCCTCTCATGAGGTATGTGCCGCCCTCTCATGAGGTATGTGCCGCCCTCTCGTGAGGTATGTGCCGCCCTCTCATGAGGTATGTGCAAAAAATAATATGCAATATGCAAAATTTTTAAAAATACTTACAAATAAATATTTCATATAATACTTTTAACTTGAACTGGTTTCTGAAATTTTATTTATGGGATATTTCAATGCTTGCCTGCCAAAGAGTTAAGGGAAGATGGAGATGGGATTATTGACTGCACAACACTGATGAGGTCTGATAAGAATTTAATTGCCTGGGTTATAAAAGCAGTTCTTATATCTTAATCTTTCTCAGCCAAAACATGCAGACAATTCAAACCCAACTCATAAAAATACTTATTTTTGGAAGAAGAATTTAATGCTTTATACACATTATAAACTTTGTACATATTGTGAGTCCACTTATTAGCAAAAATGAGGAAAATAATGTACCCTCTGAGGCACAGCAGGACCAAGATGCAGGTTCTACTTCAGGAAGTCTAATATTATTTTAGTGTAGGTATTATTGTAGTGTATTGTAGAGTGTAATCATTGGTGCTGTTCCCTTGTTCAAAATGTTGCCAGGTCCACCCTATCCTTTGTCTCCCTTGCGCAACTATTTCCTTGATGTGGTCATCAAATGTGGCTTCAGTACAAATCAACACTCCGAGGTCTCAACCTAGTTGCTTCTCTTCAATTTCTATGCCATCTACTGCCATGTAGCGATGTGGCATCCCGATCTCTGTGCCAACTCTGTATCTCATTACTGCAAACTTGTTGCCATTGAACTGCATATATTGTTCACTAGGGCCAATCATAGATGTCGACAAGTCGTTCTGTAACCTCTTGCAGGCTATGTCCTCTGTGATTTTTATCAGCACTCTTGTATTATCCGCAATGACAATGTAGTTGCATGGGTAAGTTCTGAGTTGATTTCGGCAATGTGGATGAGGAAGAGGATCAGTCCAAGCATCGAGCCCTGTGGCACAACTCTTTTCACTCTCGCTTCTCTCTATTTTGAGTTAACAATTGCAACAGCTTGTACGCTATTGTAAGGATGTTGTGGATCTACCCTAACAGGTTCCCCCCACCCCCAACAGTCTCAGCTTTTTGAAGAGCACCCCATGGGCAACTTTGTCAAAGGCTTTAGCAAAGTCCAGGTATACCACATTCATGCCAGCTCCCTCCTCGAGCTGGGTGACAAACAGAAATGATTTCGTTAGAAACCATGTTGTCCGTTATTATACAGACCTGCCTCTTCCATGTACTGGACAAGCCTCCTGGCCACTAGCTTCTCAAAAACCTTGATCACCTGTGAGGTCAAGGTCACCGGTCTGTAATTTTGAGGTTTGTCCCTCGAGCCTCTGTTGTGATTTAGCATTATCATTCCCACTTTTAGGCCCTCAGGAATAATTCCCTCCATCATTGAGGCTTTTCAGAGCATTGTGAGCAGGGCCTTCAGAGTTCAAACACACTTCATCAACAGCACGGCCGGAATTCCATCCGGTCCTGGTGCTGAGAACGTTGCTAATTCCTTGATACATGTTACCATATCTTCTGGCCCAAACTCAATGTTCTCCAACCCATTTTCTCCTGGCAGTTCCTGGAGAATTTTGATTTGATTCTCCTGCCTTGAGTAGCAGGGGTTACTGAAGACTGATTCAAACTGCGATCCTCATAACTCACACATGCCCTGGTCATCTCCAACAAGGCCATCATTATCTTTCAGCAGGCTCACTGGCATCTTTATTTTAGCCTTGGACTGGGCATATTTGAAGAACGGACTTCAGGTTCTTTAGGATTACCTCCACTACTTGTCCCTTTGCAGCTTCTTCTTCTATCGTATGCAAGTCCTGCAACTTAAGTTCAATTTCATTATGCAAATCTATTAGTCTCTGTCTCCTCATATCATTAGTGGATTCAGCTATTTGTTCATTCAAATGTGTGTCATTTCTCATGTGGATTCTTCAGTCTCCCGGAATGCTGCAGACTTTGGGGCCGGTTTTTCTAGGGGTGTTACGCACACATACCTGTGCTAGTTTGCCACAAAGTTTTGTGTAAATCTCTGCATTAACATCATGAAACTCTTCTCTCCAGTCAGTTTTGTCAAGTTCATTCCAAATTGCGTCCCAATTGTTCTTTGTTTAAGTCCTGCCAGTCATATTTGGGGTATAGCTCTGAGATGGGTATCAGTTGCAATTGTTGTATCCACCCTCATCAGGCAGTGGTCCAACAGTGAGGTTCATTTAACCTGAATGTCAACCGCCATCCTTTCATTATCGGTAAAGAAAAGATCGAGAATATTTCGTTCACTTGTCGGCAACCGTACCTGCTGACAGAGCAAGTGTTCCGCAGCAAACTTCACTAGTTTGGCTTCTTGACTTCTGTCACGGTCACCAACCTCCACGTTGCCAAGACTTGTCCAACAGATTTAGATCATATATAAGTACTTATATTAGCAGTCAGCTTATATTGGAAGTTCACAAGGAATTTAAAAGCAAAGAAAACACCAAGCTAATTCACCATATCAATTTTGAAAACCTTACAGAGTCCAGCTCCATCATCAGTTTGACTAACAAAAAATGAATAAAAACATATTATTATAAGTAAAAATTCTAAGACAGACAAAACCAAAACAAGACCTAACATATAAAAAAACTAGGACTTGATTGGATTAACTTAGACCTAGGGCATACGAAAATAATATAAAAACCTAGCGATTCACTATTTCCAGATTATATGATCTAAACGCATTATTGAGACCCGGTTTTTGTTTGAATATATGTAGAGACTCCCAAAAATTCTCAAATCCAAGCAGCCTGAAGTGGAACCCAGTATCCTGAAATCACTCTCAGATACAGCCACGTTGTGCTTTTAAGCATTAAGGTGGAGGGAAGAATGAGGAGGCTTGGTGAGAGGCAAGTTTGAAAGATAGCTCCTGCCACAGTGTTCAGAAACCCGGATGTAGAAGTTACGTGACTTCATTCCAACGTACACAGATGAACAGCACACTCAACTGTACTCGTAGAACAGGTTTGATTGCATCTGGGCAGGAATAGCGTCCTTATACCTGAAGAAAGAACCAATTTTGAAATTATTTACCAGCAAAACATGCAAATTTATGTTTGGGAAATATTTCATAAACAAAATCTTTAGTTCTCTGGACATAGTTTCAGATGTACTACCAAAATAGGGCAATGTGCAATAACTAGTTTTCTTACTATCGCATTTAATCACAGTTTCAGAAAATTTGTTAGATAAGCGTTTGATTTTACTAAACACAAGGCACAATAGAGAACCATTAAGCTGAAATATATTACAATTGAATCCGAATTCCAAATGCATATCATTGAAGACAGAATAAACCCTATAGCCACTGTATATCAAAGTTTGAAGACTATTCAATTTGAAACAAAATGAGCAGAAGCTAAAGAAGCTCATATCCAAGCTAGTAAATGTCGGTTTTTGCTAAAGGGAAGTCTGAAAACGACCGCCAGACTTGGTAGTTTTGCAATTGAGAAACAACAAGCAATCGTTGGATTCTGATTCCATAGCGAATTTTATTGAAGGATGTTTGAGGTTTAGGTAATCAAAGAAAAGGCACATGAGAGGGATGCTCAAAGATCAGAAAGGTATCATCAATATACCTATTATAAAAAATTTGTTTAAAATCAATGGGACAATCGGCACAACCAAGAAACTTCATGAAAGCACATGAAAATGTTAGCAAATGTGGGACCAAGGGGATGGCCCATTTCTAAACCATCAACTTGCTTATAAAGTTTACCAGCAAAAATGAAAAAAATAGTTCATAACTGATAATTTCAGTAATTTTTTTAAAAGACTGTGGTTGAGACCAGTCACCAGATCATTCGCATCCTTAAACAAAGAGTTGAGGCAGATTTCAATGGTTTTCTGCAAGAGGAATATTAATGAACAAATTTTTCACATCAAGCAAAGCCTTAGTCAGGTGCAAAACATTGGTAAAATCTTTCAAACGGTCGACAAAAGAGTACGTACTATCAACAGTAAACTGGTTAAGATTTAGACAATTCAAAATGGGAACTAAAAATTAAGCTATGTTGAAGCTCAGGGTATTATACCTAGCAAGAATAGGTCGGAATTGAAATTTTGAAGCAAAATCAGGCTTATGAATTTTGGAAAGGCCGTACAATATGCCAGGGCACAAACCAGAAACGTGAAGTTTTACAAAAAATTTTAGAGGCAAGGAGTAAGAAATCTTTAAGTTTATGAATGAAGGTATTAATTTGATCCTCAATTTTCAAAATAGTTATAGAGATAGGGCTAGTGATTTCAACGAATTTTGAAAGGTCGAAAATGAGAGCAAGCATACTGCCAGTGTATTGGTTATGGTCAACCAGAACCACGCCGCAACCTTTATCAGGCTTGTATATAACCAGATCCTTATTCTTGGCTAGGTCCCTCAAAAGTTCGTAGTCACGAGGTTGAAAAACTGCCAAGAAAATTTTGTAGATTTCAAACTGTAGAAGTGACGATATGCTAAGCTTTGAAGATTACCAAGAAATTCTGGGCGGTTAGAAGTAGCCACATTTTTCAAGTTCATAGCAAGACGTTCAAATGCTATAAAAATTTGAAATTATCCAGTTTGAAAACAGGAAGACAAAATCAAAACCAAACTCAAGCAAGAACTTAGTACAAGGTTCTATATTGTAAGAACTAAGTTGAAAACAACTTTCTCAAGGTCACAGGGCTGAATCTTGTGTATACTAAGATTAGTCAGTTTTTTTGCGGTGGGTTTTGCTTGCCCAGCATGCTGTCTGACAACAAAAGTGTCCACGGTGGAGAATAAGTGCCTGACTTGTGCATCACACTGTCATCCTAGCTGTTAATTGTTTCAATGAATTCCTTTTACTAGCCAATTCCTTACAGAGATGTTTATTCTGCCATGATTTATAGAAAGAGGACGTATGTCAACAACATTTTATTCATTTTTAGTTAGTAGAACTGATGATGGAGCTGGACTTTGTATCATTTTCAATATCGATATGTTGAATTTGCTTGGTGTTTTCTTTGCTTTTAAATTCCTTGTCCAATGGATACATGGGAGATCGAAGTCTCCCCTATTATCATGCTGGGGGCTGGTTCACCCAGTCCAGTCACCCTGGTTTCTATTTACTTCAGGGTTTTGTTGACATTTTCTGATGGGCAAGCAGGCGGCCTATAGATTATGGCTATGCAGAGGTCAAGTTTTTTATGTGGAGTAGTACATGTTCAACAAATCCATCAGAGTTTCCAGATTTCGATCTCAATTCCACCGTGCTTCTTGCAAGGGAGCTCCTAAGGTAAACAATTACTTCTCCCTTCTTCCTCCCTTCCATTCGGTCCGCATGGTAATGTTGGAATCCTTCCATTGCAATTTCTGCATCCAGGATATCTTTTCTTAGGCGCGACTCTGTTAGTGCAATCATAAAGATCCCACACTCATCGGCCATCTCTCTCAGCACGCCAATGTTTTGACGTGCTGTTTGTGGGAAGAGCCCCTCGATATTGGCCAGCAGGATGCCAGACTCTTCCCTTATTGGTGTTCTCACCTACAGCAACACCGCTCTGCCAGGCATCCCTGATCTAGCAGCTCCTTCGTCTGGAGTTGCATCCTTTCCAATTGATACATTAGATGTTGCATTTGGTCCTTCATGTCTAAAAAAGCACTGAGGGTAAGCTCTTGCCCCTCACGTGCTTCTCTGCCCCATACACATTGGCTACTCGGTGGAGTAGCTAAATTGTCTGTCCTTCTCTATTGACTCTGTTCATTTCTACCCCGTACATAACTGCTCCTTCCAACGGTGTTTCTCTCAGCGTTGTTCTGTCTTCCCTGAGTATGAGGGGCGTGCTGTGCAGTTGGCATAACCATTTGCTGTGAGGGCATAACATTGGCTCTTGCTCTATTGCTATTTTCTCCACTTTGTTTTCTTGATTTGATATGGTGGAAATGACAACTTTCTTTGATGCAATCATCTTACCAAAATTCTCCTCTCTGTTCATGATACTCCAGCACAGCATAGGATGATATAAGGGGCAATCCTTACCCTTTTTGCACCCTCTGGGATGACTGCTTCCGTAATCAAAGAATTTATAACACATTCTAGGGTGTGAGAATGTGCATCCTTCACTGTTCTTTCCATATTCACATTTCTTTTGAAGTTATTTCCAGCAAACACCTTTTTCAACTTGCGGTCTGCCTGAGGGTACATAAGCTTCTTGGGAGGAGGGTAAGGTTGGAACAGATGATGGCAAACCGATTTCTAAATCCAGAAGGTTATTGGTAGGGTTGGGAGCAATATGGGAATGGGGGGTTTGAGCAGGGGGAGAGTGGGGTCAGAAGTAATTGTGGGGGTAGGAGTGGGTCTGAGGGCATGATTGAGAGCAGAGGTAGGGTTAGTACTGGGTGCAAGTGTGTGAGTGGGGGTAGGGGTTGGGCTCTGAGCAGGGGTAAGGGTGGGAGTGAGGTTTTGTCTTATGGCAGGATTAGGGTTGGGGGAGAGGAGGGGGAGGGGGAATGGGAGGAGGGGGTAAGGCTGGTAGGGGGAAATGGAAGAGGCCATACTGGATATGTCTGTTTGCTGAACATTCATGGCTGACTGAAGCTTTGCTTCACTCACGTTGTATTTATCTCCGCATTCTTTCATAACGCAGTGTTTCATATGAAACTGGTTTTGTCAAGTCTCACAAGAACGTAAAGGGAAAGCTCTGTACACTGAAGGTGTATAAAGAAACGACATTTGTTGCATTGAATGGCCAATGGTGCTTTGCAAGACTTACAGCAGATTGAACATGAACTACCCTTAGTGGGCTCAATCACATCACATTTTGCCATAATTTGTTTTTTTTCTTGTAGTTTTTGCTAATTTGTTTATCTAGTTGCACTAATTCTGTTTTTCAAGGTTCACTATTTCAATGGATAGTAAGTTCAAAAGGTTTCACTATTTATTGGTACTCTTGCTGTATCTACACTATCTCTTCCTGTTGGGTTCCAGGGTAAGGAATTTTGGCCGCGGCTGGCAGCATTCTGGCGACTGGATACATGCAATAATATTTAGTTCAGGCCTGGGCTCGAATGCACAATTCCTGCACACTTGACACCTTCCTGAGTTACAAATGCATTTACTGTATTTTTTCTTTGAATACCTAAATATTTGTGTCTATCACACTTTGCCATCGTTGATTCACTTCTTCACCAAAGAAAGGCTATTTTGTTTTTCAACTTGAATGTTTGATTGCTAAGTTAGATTTAATCTAGGCAAATCCAATTTTTTTCAAAAATTACAATATGTATGAAATTTGAAAGTATTAGCCTCACCTGAACACTTTAAACTGTCTTTCACACTTCTAGTGGCTCAATGAGTTCCCTGATCTACCACAATCACTTCACTGGATTCATAACATGTGAGCTCAGATTTGAGAATAGCACTACCAGCTCAAAACTCAAAAACCGATGCAATAAAAACCAGGCAATAAATTTATGTGAAATTTATTGCCCGTGGCAATGAATTTCATGCAAGCGGCACACGTCCTACCAGCACAACGATCAGGAGGAAACCCCTGATTGGAGGAAACTCCCAGAAACATTAAGCAATAAAAGCACAATCAAATAAAAGAACCTCACTCACAGCACTTAATTAAACCAAAAACTTTTAGCATTTTCAAAACAATCAAGCAGCAAGCGGTAATTTTAGCTTAATTTAAATATACTTGATGATAAGGTAAATGGGCACAATTGCAACTTATTGGATGAAGCATATAAATTGAAACTAGATTTGTATGTATTGAAGAAATAGAATAGCAAGCATTGAAATTAGGGGATTGAAATAGTAAAGCAATTGAAGTAAAATCATATAAATAACTTGCTATTGTGCAATTTAGTTCTTTAGATTAAAAGCCAGCATTGCAAGAAAGTGGATGAACACACGTGCCAAAGTGTAAACATAAGTAAGAATAAAGTAAATCAATTACAAAGCCAAATGAACACTAACATACCTGGTTTTAAAAGCTTCGTACAATTATGGATCCTGACAAGCACTTACCAAGGCAATTGCAGTCATCAGAGCATTGGACATCAATCTGCCTGCTTCTATTAGTGACAATGTTGCTGATCAAGCACATGCATGAAAAAGATAATTATTGGAATTTTTTACCATGACTGGAAAAATAAAGAGAAATGTATGGTATTGAAATAAAACATATACGTTGAATGAACAGCAAATTTGGTTTGCAATGAAAAATACTGAAATAACCACTATGCTAAATTATGTCTTGCTTTGATATAAGCTATGTCATACTTTGCTATAAGCTATGTCATACTTTGCTATAAGCAATGTCATACTTTGATATAAGCTATGTTATACTCTGATACAAGGTATGAAATTTTTTCATCAGATGGATGCTGATGAGTCAGCACTGGCATCAGCAGCTGGTGATGCAGGATCTAAGCAGTGGGGCTGCAGAGGCTCAGTCCCTGAACTTCCTGAGCCTCGTGAGAGGCGAGTATTCAAAACAAAATTGGAAAAGCCAGAAATTATTAATGCCTGGTTGAAAAAGCATAGAAAAAATATTATAAGCAGGAATTATTTAAGAAAAAGGGATTTTGATGATTATGATAAAGTATTACTTTATTTAATAAGAAATAAGGATGCTATACTATCACGGCAAAAAGCTCCCTTGAGAGATGCAATTAAGTTTGGTTATTTTTTACAACTTATGTACAAAAACCGATTTCAACAAAACCTTGGTGAAATACCAAGATTTTCCTATGAAACCATTCTTTCTGAGCATATTGGTATTAGCAAAAGTTTAGCTCAAAACTTGCAATGGCTTGGCAAACTTGGATATCAATATCCCAAACTAGGAAAAGTATCACTGTATCTTTATCAAATGTTCAGGAGAAGACCAGCGATAGCCAATCTGTTCAGAAAATTTCCCCATTTAGCTAATAAGTGGAAATGAAGCTTGCTTTCTGTGGAACATTATTAGTTGAGTGAAAATAAAGCTTCACAGTAAACTATGAAATGTAAAACAAATTCATCAGTCAGGTAGGTATAGCATTGTAACTAGTAGATAAGATTTGTTAATATAAGGATTCTTAATTTTGATAATAAGGACACATAGTAGTAGACATAGTTTTTATAGTGGAATGACACATTCTAAAATGGGGCTCACACATCCTGGGTGAAACATCAACCAGGTTGTGTGGTCAAGGGAAGAGTGATGCATTTGTGCTGAGTGGGAAATGTGGTAAAGTTTTTAAATGTTTTCTAATGCTTTTGATATGAACTTTTTCAGTGAGGATGGAATAAATTTCTAATTTTGTATAAAAATGTGATGTTCATTTAATCCTGCATGTCAAGGTATTGTTTGAGGTAATTTGAAACTAATATTTGCAGCGTAACTGGGATAACATGAACCAGATTTATTAAAGTTACATGAACAGACATTCGAACTTATCTTTAGTAGGTAGGCTTATTCAAAGATGCTCGGTGGAAGATCTACTATTGAAATTGTGATTATTGAGTGTAGAAATGATGTAACTATTTACTTGCTTTTTTTACTAAGCTTCCATCCAGTTAATACAATGATGATTGTTTAAATTTATTATTACAACTGCGACTCAGATTTGCTCATTATCCAAGAATATTGCATCAATGTTATTTATACATAACTCATCACTTTTTCTTGGTGATATTCGTTTTGCATGGAAGGTATGGTAGGGGTAGGTTGTTGTAAAAGAGGTAGGCTATGCTATGTTAGTAATTTTTATCAATGATTATAGATGTCAGAAACCAACCAACCCCCTCCTCTCTGTAGCGCTTAGAATGAATGGGCATCTAGCGTCAGGCTAGGGTGGATGTTGCCTGATATGGAGTTTTAATTTGAGGCTACAATATGTTGATGTTACAATATGTTACAATATGTTAATGTCGTTATTCAAACTGAGCGATCACATCAATGGGAGGGAATGTATATTTTGCTGAATGTAAAATAATATTAGGTTGATAATCTAAACATTGTAAGTTATTGATTTAATTATCTAATGTGCTAAAGGTTAGAAATATACTTTATATCAAATTTTATGCCTTTTATTTCTATCAAATTTTTTCATACTTCTAAAAATAACCCATATGCATTCAGAATTAAATTCTGTAATTCAAATTGTTTGCGGATATTCACTTTACGTGTTGCAAATATAATTGTAATCAGCTACATCATAATGTTGAATTACATTTGCATCTTAAAATTTCTTGACCAAAGTTTGTTTGTTCCTGTGTTGTGAAACATTCATGTGCCTGACTTCTCGTGGTTCAATTTACTCCTTACATGAGTTTTTCTCGGTGCTCAACTTGCTTTTCCCGGTGTGCACCATATATCCCATTAACGCTGTTCGGCAAGTAAAAAATTATTCGCTGGTGGGCCAGCTTCAGAAGAATATCAGAATGATAGTGAAGTACACTTGCCACTTGCAAAAAATGAAATTCCTCCGATGGTAGGAATCTGAAATTCCCCGGTGTGCACCATATACCTTGTATCCCATTAATGCTGCTCGGCAAGTGCACTTGCCACTTGCGAAAAATTAAATTCCTCCGAAACTACAAATGTTGAGCTTTGAAATGGAGTCACACGGTAATAAGACGAGTACTGAACGCGTTCAGAACGAGCAATAGCGGCGTCAGGCGCTTCATGCCTGCTCAGTTGGCCTTGGAATTTGATGCTGTGAGCCATGGCGCTACTACGCCATAAATATATATAACTCAGTACTCACTGCAGTGAGTGACAGAAAACTCATTCTCTCGTCGACGAAAACGTGAAGTCACGGACGGACGGACAGACGGAAATGGCGAGCACAATAGTGCGTTTTTTCCATAAATGAGAAAATGCGCTAAAAACGTAGGTTGTCACTTTTGTCAGCTAGTTAGAACTCACTACTATAGTGAACAGTTTTCTTAAACGAATTTCCCAATGATATATGCAATTTTGTGATTCTTATATAATATGACCACTATATCGTGACGTGAATATTTGTGGCAAGTGTACTTGCCACTCGGATATAAAAGTAGGGAACCGTCTTTTTTCCAGATACCAACGGAAAAGTCGTATTCATTCGTTTAACTCTTATTCCAGGTTGTCTCAAGATGAAGATCACGACTTCTTCTCATTGCAAGAAGATGCAGACGACCAATTTGAAGTCAAAGTAGCAATAGAGCCCCCAGAAGAAACGCCTGAAGCTGCAACAGGTCATGACAGTGATGCATCAGATGATGAAGTTATGTGCGATCCCGAGCACCTTCCGAGGAGAATTTTGCTCACTAATGTTCTAAGTGAATCTGTAAATGACGGTCAACTCGAAATTGCATCTAATCCAACCCCAACATCTACCAGACGTGGATCAAAACGTCGAAAAAGGATGATCTACACGTGGCATACAGATAAAAGCAAGATTGAAAATCTAGTACCGGATTTTAGCGATGCACCTGAGGAACAGTTAGTCAACGCCGTTGAAACAAATCCATTGGAGATTTTTGAGGAACAATTTTGGACACAAGATTATATTGAATTTTTATGTGAACAAAGTAGAAACTACGCCCATCAGAAAGGATTCCCTTGTAGTGATGTAAATGCCGAAAACATGAAGGTTTTTTTGGCCATTCTTATTCTCTCAGGGTACAATAAGGTTCCTCACAGAAGACTGTATTGGAGTGAGTTACCTGACACTCAAAGTAAATTAGTTATGAATGCGATGAGACGGGATGCCTTTGATCAAATAATGAGATGCTTGCACTTCAACGATAATACGAAAATGAATGACGATCGATTCTACAAGGTGCGTCCGCTTTTTGAACACTTGAACAATGCTATCAAAGATGAGAAATGTTGTGAATACTACAGCGTTGATGAAATAATGGTTCCATATTATGGAAGAGATGGTGATAAGCAGTATATTAGAGGAAAACCAGTGAGATTTGGGTTCAAGCTTTGGGCAATCAGCACGTCTGATGGGATTCTGCGGCATGTTGAGCCCTATTGTGGTAGTTATTCCAGAATTTCGGATAGGGGTTTTGGTTTAGGTGGTAACGTTGTGCTAGAAATGATCGAGAAAGTGAATATGAAAGCCGCACAGCACGTTGTATTTGACAATTTCTTTGGTTCAGTTTCATTACTAGAGGAACTTGCACAGAGGAAAATCGCTGCTACTTGTACTCTAAGAGAAGACCGACTGTCTGGTGCCCCACTAAAAAAGAGGACAATTTTGGAAAAAGAAGAAAGAGGAAATAGTGATGAAGTATTCACAGGCTGCATCTCGGTTGTAAAGTGGAAAGACAACAAAGTGGTAAGCGTTGCCTCTAACAAACTTCGCGCAGATCCTGCAAAAAAAGCAAAAAGGTGGAGTCGAGTGGCCAGGAAGCATATTTATGTTGACCTACCACACTCAATCTACGTTTATAACCAGCACATGGGTGGCGTGGACCTATTTGATCAACAAGTAGCGGCATACCGGTGCAGAATAAGATCAAAGAAATGGTGGTGGCCTCTTTTCGCTTGGACTGTGAGTGCGCAGGTGGTAAATGGATGGAGAATTTCTAGGAAAAATGACAAGAAAATCAGCTTATTAGATTTTGCTCGGCAACTGGTGATATCAACTCTGACTAAATATGGGAAACCAAAGGTAAAACCATGTCCAGTTTCGATGCCTGTTGTGAATACAGTGCGGTACGGCAGTCAGCATCATTGGACATACAAAGGCCAAAGTCCGTACAACAGATGTCGTGAATGTGGCGGCCGTACCATTTATTTTTGCAGTGTGTGCAACATTTCTGTACACCCAGAGTGCATGAAAACCTTTCACACGCAAAAATGAATTTCGAGTGGGCAACACATGCATAGATTCCATTGGCAAATCTGTTCATGCACTTTCGATTTCTATCCACTCTGGTTATCTCTTCTTTGGGACCTATGATTTTTTTATAGCCTGGTGGCATGTATACTTGCTAGTCTGTATTTCGAGTAATAATAAAAAAGTTAATTTTTTTCGTCACAATTCTTTAGAAGATATCTGAATGAATCCCTTGAATAGAAAAAAGTGTTTTAATAATCCGCAGGGAACTGTCGGCGTTAATGGGTCAAGAGGTAGGCTACGGTAGGTTAGTAATTTTTATTAATTGATTATAGATGTCAGACACCAACCAACTCCCTCCTCTCTGTATTGCTTAGAATGAATGGGCATCTATAGCGTCAGGCTAGGGTGGATGTTGCCTGATATGGAGTTTTAATTTGAGGCTACAATATGTTAATGTTGTTATTAAAACTGAGCGATTATCACATCAATGGGAGGGGATGTATATTTTGCTGAATGTAAAGTAATATTAGGTTGATAATCTAAACATTGTAAGTTAATGATTTAATCATCTAATGGTAGAAATATACTCTATATCAAATTTTATGCTTTTTATTTTCAATCACTTTTCTAACAATAATCCATATGCATTCAGAATTAAGTTCTGTAATTCAAATAATTTGTGGATGTTCACTTCACGTGTAGCAAACATAATGGTGATGAACTATGCGATGATGTTGAATTAAATTTGCTTCTTGAAATGCATTGATGACAAAAGTTTGTTGGTTCTTGTGTTGTGAAACATTCATGTGCCTGACTTCCAATCGTTAAAATTTAATTTTTTTCTGGCTTGTCTTGCTTTTCCTGGTGTAGAACTTGGTCAGTTATGGCATTAGTATTCATATAAGATGCACCATTGCAGTGTAATTCTTAGACTGCAGCAACCGTCCGGCCATCAGACATCTGCTACTCTGTTGAGCTGCAGTTGAACGGAGGCTTGTACCCAGCCTAACATTTCAGTGTTCCGAACTGAGGATTCAATATTAAGAAAGGCCAAGACTAACTACAAACCCGAGTATTTAAAATTTGCCGTAATATGTAGTTTGTTACTGACACTCTTGACATTAAAACAGTGATATCGTCAAACGGTGGTAAGGTCTTTGTGTAGGAATCTTAGATGAATATTCAGGAGTACTCCGTGAAACCGATTGAGAAGAAGAACAAAAGCAACCAATATGTGAAGGTAGAATTAGGTTAAGGTGTTGACGATCCTGTAGCAGCGTGCTAATTCAGGGCAGACTTGTTTTGGGATAAAAGCAAGGACTTGTTTGTGAATTCAGACAACTGCAGAGGGAGAAGTCTACCAGGATAGAAGTCCATAAGAAGCCAGCACGTCCTGAAGATAAGTTTTTCGTTCAATCTCTAAGGTATTAGACTGGGTTCTGATAATGGACTCTAATATTGTGTTAGTGATCACTGGAAACTATACGAACGGTGTACTGGAACTATGTTAGGCGCTGAGATCTCATAAGCATATGAATGAAGGAATAGTGCTGTGCTACGAAACTATGCTCTATTTAACTTCATTCAAATGTTCTTAATTTACATGTTAATTCTTTGTTTAACTAAAGTAATTGTGTCAAATGGGAGATTTTTATTGAACCTCGGCACGAAAGATCATTACACTTTGTAATCGCGTAATTCTAAAATTATTCCATGTATTGCTTGACAGTAATTGCACTAAATTTGGATAAGAAGAGACTCCTAACTCCTATGTAATTGAATTTCAAATATCGATTGGTGGACAGAACGTCTGGACTACTTTACGACATTTACCAAACAGGCAGAGATCAAAATACGTCAAGACGTTCGCTGGGCGAGGCGGAGTAAGATAAGTGTAGAAACAGTTGACAGGGCTCGTTCCTACCACCCGAACAAAGCAAGGCATGTTGCAGAGCCTTCTGGTACTGTCGCAAAACGCCAGACAGTCCGAGACCTGAAGGACACAGTCTTGTAACTGTCGACAGCACGAAAGCCATCGGTCTGATTCTCAGACCGTTGCTATGAGACTGAACATTTCTCCTCAAAGGCTTTTCTTAACCTGCGAGTGTAGCGCTGGAGA